GGGAAAGAAGGGGTCTCAATGTGCTCCTTTAGGATATTAACCATCCTTCAAAAATACCAAATGTAGCTTTCCTAACTTGTTTTAAATCAACTTTATTTTTTTAATTAGTGTTCACATCAGAAAAAGAGGCCAATTTATTCATTGGACGGCATCTTCTGAATAACAGATTTGATTTTGAAGCATTCACAGCGGATAACCTGGAAAGAGAATGCTTTGAAGAACTGTGCAATTATGAAGAAGCAAGAGAAATTTTTGAAGACCCCAATAAAACGGTAGCTGTTCAAACTGAATTTAATATACTGAAGGAGGTTATTGACTAAATCATTACTCTATCTAAATACTGGAGCCCTTCTGAAAACAGCACTTAAAATGATTCGTTTTCTTACTGTAAAAGTAGCGGCCCCAATTAGACGGGGTTATTGCTTTAGATACACAGTGAATACACCTGAATATGTACTATTGTCTTAAAGACTTTAGGCAAGGGCTCCAATTCTGCAAACAAATAGAAATGAAACCTCAGACGTACCACTTGTGGATATACCTATATGTGTTTTCAGAATCTCATTGGCTTTTTTAGTAACTTCTCAGCATCCAATTCGAATGTGTTCCACATGCTCTATGTATTAATTGACTGATCGTGTCCTTGTGTCATGCCAAAGAAGTGTTTCAGGAGAGGAGTACGGAGCAAATCAGCAGTTCAGCTATTGCTCAGTATTCCTACACCATTATCTTCTAAATTGCTACCTATATACAGCTTGGAAGAAACCTGGTATAGAAAAGAGAAAAATACGTAAGAAACCTTTCAGCCCAGTAATGGAAGGTGATGATTGTCTGAAGACTGGCTCTTGCTGCATGCAGCAAGAATCTCCTTGTGATTCTAGGTGTGCTCTGCACTAACCTGCAGAAAGAACAAGGAATACACTCCTGTTCTGAAGGTGGAAACGTTAGTTTGCCATTGCTAGCATTTTCCTAAGAAAAAGGTGGAAGTGTTAAATTGGAATCTTGAGGGAGTCTTTTGCTGGGTAGCAAAAGTGGAAATTATAGCTAAACACATTTAACGCATAACAGTCATGCAACATAGGGGTTTTTCTCTTAAATGAATCCCATTATTTTTCCTAGCTGATATGAATTCAAATGCTGTTCATGCAAATGTCTGATTCTTAAGAACTTGACTTCGCCTCATTAATGCTCTTCTGTAGGGATTTACAAAGATTAATCGTAAGCATTTTTTCAGTGTTAGAATATATGCTAGCTTCTACTATAATCAGGCAGAAATATGAGGTAACGTTGGACAGTTAAATGCACTTTTCTCTTTCACCAGCTGGGATTTTTTCCTTTGTGAAATTGTAATTTTTATGCAGACTTGAATATATGAGAAAAACGCGGTGGGATAAGCAAATACAAATCCTTCAGCAGGAGTTGCTTCTGTTTATGCCATTGTTAAATTTTGCCCACAGTAGTGTATTAAAAAAATTGCCAATAAACCTGCCAATTGTGTAGCTCATAAATCTCATCCTTTGTGTTTTTATAGATGGATTTTTGGAAAGATTATTCAACTAAAGGCCCTAAAATAAAACTAGGTAAGTCATCTTTTTATTCTTTTCTTATATTGCAATATGTTTGTTATAATAGTACATCTTAAAAATACACCATGCATTCAGTTAGCAAAATCAGAATTGATCTTTTTACTGAAATTCACTATGAACTGTGCAAGCATATTGCATTATCTGATACAATAAAACATACTCACTGAAGTGTCTTACAGCGGGATCCATTATAAGTCTGTAGGAAAACAATATGAATTTTGTTGTCCATTTCCTTGTTCTATTACACAAGCGGTAAACTTTGCAGTAATTCTGTGGTTTGGTTTTCTTTGTCCTGCCTGCCCCTCCCCTTCCCATTTCTTTAATAGTAATGATTCAGGTTCAGAGTAGTCTTATGCCAGATGTTTTATAAAAAAAATGGTCAGTATGACTTGAGGAAAGATCTGCAGCCTGATCAAGGTCACAAGTACATGAAGTAACATTTGGAAGGCATTAGAAGACAGACATCTCAGCAGTTTTATGTACAGAAAAGGGAATATCTACTCACTTTTGCTTTAAGCTGGTACTCTTGGGTTGTGTTGCGCAGATATGGCTTCTCACCACAACCTAGACATTTGTGGGAAAGGAACAGCCTTATAGCACAGCAAAATTAGTATTTCACAGTGTATACTGTATACTATGTAGATGGAAAGAACACATAATGAAAATAACCGATGTTTTATCTTCAGGTGATGAGACACTACAGAAGATTAATGTTACAGGACTTCTCATCAGTCTAGTTGCTGCTGGAATACTGTTAGTTATAATTGTACTGGTTATCTTTTACTGCTGCAAAAGTAGATGCAAATCAAGGCAACCACCAGGGTAAGGAATTCCAGTGCTTTAAAAAAAAAAAACACCAAGACAAACTCTTGCTTAAGAGTGGAATTTAAAAATCACTGTGGGTTGGTCTAACTGTATTCTCAGAGAATCCAATGGGAGTTCTAGTTCTTATTTTCCTGGAAGCAGTTAGGTGAGCACTAGCAGTAGCTATGCTGAAGTTAATTAATAACACCAAAACGTAAAACAACACTTGCATGGCTGACGTACCTTTGGGGTTTTTTTGTGTGTGTTCTTGGTTCCAAAATATTCTTACTAAAAAGATGGAATCGTTTTCATAGGTTGGGGCCTGCAGTGGAAAGTCTAACGTGTTCTGTTCACTCTTTAAAGTAGGGTGTATGCTCTTTGTGGCATGTAGTCTAACTCAGATGTGAAATGAAGTAGGTTGGAGGAAATGCTTCCTTACCCCTTCTTGTTCCTTCATCCTAAACTTGAAAAGCATGCAAGAGGATTCTGTGCTTCCTCTTCCCTATAAATTTCACATTACTGAGCTATTCTTACCCTGTGGCTTAGAGAGAGTATTTGGCTTCTGGTCTTTATGATCATTGAAGTCAAATGTTTTTTGGGGTTTTTTTTCTGTGTTTTTTTTTAATTTGTTTTGAAGTTTTGGTGGTGGTTTTGGGCGGGGGGTATTGGTTGGGTGGTGGTTTTTTTTTTAACAACTAAGACTTTATATTCTTTCTTCCTTTTAAAACAGAAGCTGCCACTTATAATGCTGTTAACTTTGTTTAGGTACTTGGATTATGTAAGTAGAAGAAGACGTAATTCATCTAGCATCTTCAGAAGGCATGAAGAATTTTCTTTAAACCCACTTCCTCTCAGAACTGATGATTCAGGACTACCAACTTATGAGCAAGTAGTTACTTCAGATGGACAACACGATGTGCCACCACCCCCTTACCCAGGGCCCCCAAAAGGGGCACGGGTGTTTAAAAAGTCTATGTCACTTCCTGGCCCTTAGTCGCAAACCTCCTGCTGGGGTGAGGGAGCATTACTGAAACATAACATACTTTTTTTAAAAAGTGTGTGCTACCTTGCATATTGCAAGACAGTTTACAAAAATGTGAAAAATCTTTAGCGCAACTAGGAACAATTGAAAATCCCATTTGGGAAAAGAAGTGACCTGTTGCAAAGGCTGCAGGACTATTCTTTGCACAAGGTTATTGCGCTAAGAGGAGCGATTGCATAAAGAGCATGTCTTGTACTGCCACCCTCTTCCATATGCACTTTGAGCCATCCCATCATACTATTGATGTTTCATTAATAGTTTAATCTTTTTTTTTCTTCAGAAGGAACAGTATTTTAATTGTTTTTATTGACACCATTTTTTGTGACTATTAATGCTTTAAACCACCGTAAGAAGTCTGCTTTGTTTGATATATTCACTTCATTGCTGTGTGAATTTTCTATTCGTTCTAGTAATAGATTCGAGTATGAAAATTATTTCATGATTTGATCTTTCAAATGTATATATATTACTGCCTTTGGATTACACTGGTTTGTTTTAGACATTGCTGGTTAACACTACTCAATTTGTTGTATTTTTGTGATTATAATTTTGGATGAAACAGAACCGTTAATTGCGTGGCACATTACCCATTCAGATAAAGTATACTTCTATCAAATGGTTTTAATATTCACTTTGACCTGGTATGTAGTGCTGAACAAATAGAGTACTATGGGCCAGGGGGATGTTAAGCAAATACCTAGAGATTTGTCCTTTGTTAAAAAAGTACCCAGGTTTCACAGATTATGTTTCTCTCTCAGTTTAAAAATTTAAATGTTGAAAGAGATGTTTAGCTTGTTAAATCAAAGGCCAAACTACCCCGCGGAAGCACTTTGCCTAAGTATGTATTGCCCTACTGGGATGACAAAAATGATACCTTTAAGTAGAACAAAACATCGTATTAGATAAATAACCAGTATCCACAGAGCAATAGTCAAGAATTTCAGGGAGTTGCTGGTTAACTGGATCAACACAATTCTGTATCTCTGCTTGTAGCCACCCTTAATTTTACATCTTATTAAAATATCAACCCCCAGCATTATATGGCCTACAGATCTTGCTGAGCAAGTCACAGGCCAACGCTGTTATCCCTTCACCTCCTAGTCAAATGGCACCGTGGTGGAAAAGGCTTCCTATAGCCACAGGAAGCCCTATCAGAGGGTCTCGGGCAACATGTCGGGCTGCTGTTTCCTCGTAACACAGTAGCTGTAATGTTGGACACAGGCAATGTAGTTTTTTTAAGAAGCAACAAATTCCCCCCCACTCCCATTTAACCAATGCTGACAGCAGCAAATGGTATTTTAATTTGGTGCCTAAAATGCACATTATAAAGTTTGAATATTTACATGTAACATTTCCCTGAATTTTCTGTTTTTTAACATGCTAGAACCTACAGTGCTATTGAGTGAGATGCAGAGGATTGCTATGAGATTTTTAATCTGTAAATGCTTTTGTAAAGAACAAAATGCTCCAAATCTTGGAATATAATGAGGGTATATTGAAAATGCTACACAAGGTGGTCTTGCCCTTTGAAAAATACATACAACCCAGCTGGTATCAGTGCACATTGGACTGTGTTCTCATAAGCTTCAGCATCAGATTTAGCTTTTGACAAGTCACAAACCTCTTTGCAGCTTCCTTCTTGTTGAGAGGTGGGGGAATCCCCATGTTGGGATAGCTTCAGTTCACTTTTGCCCTACTTGTAAAAGCATTTTGAAGTTCTTGGAGGTTACTGTTCTGTAAGGCTGAATTAAGTGAATTAATGTGAGGTCACCGTTGATAACCAAAATACAGAGTTATGATGAAGCTATGGAATTATAAGCTTGCAAAAACATTTCTCCCGTATTTCCTTTTCATTTAGCTAACGATTTTTAAATTTGGTAATATGCATCTTGAGCCACAGAGCACACTTCTCTAGATTTTTCCTGGCACTCAAAAATGACTAATTTAATGGGATTGACAGGAACGCTTTCAAGGAAAGGGATTTCACTGGGCATATGAGAATTCAGAGATTCTTTAATGTTACTACAGTGTTGTATGCATCTGGCAAAGTTACGTTTTAAATAAACTACAGAAATTGTGCAGAAACCTATTTAATCACTTGAAATTTGATTCTTCTACTATTCCTACAAATGATTTGCAAATTATTCCATGCAATGAAAGCAAAAATCTTGACTTCCATAATTAATAAGAAAACCTTAAGAAGATGCACCTGTTAAAACATCAATGCTGTAGCTCTTTGGGCAGGAAACTGCACCTTCGGTAGGGTATAACGCTTCAAATTTACTCAAAGAATCTGCACTTTAGACCCTGGAGATACTCAAAATATGCAGTGACTGACATTCAAATACTGGTTGCATGTAACATGACAATATGCAAGACACATTCTGCTCATTATAAATATGGAGTAAAGTTTAAAATGTAGTTGAATATAAACTTACCTCTCCTTGTAAAGGGAGAAAATTCCCTTGAATGGCAGTTCTTTGGGTTGAGTTAGCAGAGGAAAAAACAAGAAGAGGTTGACTATGGTGACTTGTGAATTCAGAAGCGTTGCCACATTTCCAGATTTTACATGCGGTTTCCTTTGAAAATGCCATTGCTGTTAAAATATAGAAAATAGCAAATATAAGTGTCCTTAGGTGGGAGGAGAAGGAGGAGGAGGTAGTTTCTGAGGAGCAAAGCAGGAGCAAGTTTAATCTAATTTGTGTACAGATGTAAGTCATCAGTGTTTTGACTTCCGGACTTTCTTTCAAGGGCCAGAAGGAAAGGCCTAGGAAAGATCTACTATGACAGCTGAAAGCAGAAGTGTCTAAACAAAACGCTGGGGAAAATTATGTAGTACTTAAATCCTGTTTCTCTCAGAACAGGTTTAAACATGTCACACTAAACGCTGCTAGCCATCGCCTTGAACAATTTTCAAAAAAACTTTCTGTGTTGCCCTTTCAGCATCATACAAACTTACAGCATGCAACTTTTTATAAGTCAGGCCAGTTTATTAGTTAGAACAAATAACTGAGGGTCAGAAAAGTGGTCTCTGGCTCTGTCAACTGAAAAATAAATCCCTCAACCTGTTTTTTGCTCCAGTGAAATAAGAAAGCCTACTGTTTATCAAATCCTCTGATGAATAGTATTATAAGCATTATGTATTTCTAGTTTTTGGGGGGGGTTTTGTTGGGGTTTTTGTGAATTTGTTAGAAGAGCAAAACCAGAGTGCCACATGGAAGTGCACTTCCTCACCACAGTTCACAAAAATGTGAGTCATGAAGCACTTGATTGTGGCCCTATCAAAGTCTATGGCAAGCTTTTTATAGGCGTCAGCTGCACTGGGATCAGCGCCAAAAATGAAATAGCTGATCACTTCAGGTAACAAAAAGTATAATGCTCTGCCAAATTATTTACCACAACACTGTTGCCAAACCTGATTTAGAGTATTCTATTGTTTTAATGATGCCTACTTATATTAACTAGAATGTTTGAGCCTGATGCTGATCTGCCCTTAAAAATTGTATTTGAAATTTGGAAAGCATAGGAAAATTTCTTGTCTTTCCTCAGATTACCAGCTGTGAATAAGCTGCATTAATTACCTGTAGGTTATTACCAACACCGTTTGATTACTTTGATCAACAGGACAGGTTCATTTAAAGCTTTAAAAAAAAAAACAAACAAAACCAACAAAACCAAACCAACAAACCAACAAACTTTCCTATCCACAATGTTATCTGCCAACGAAAGTTTTATTGCTGCTATCCTCACTTGTTCCATGTGGTACAGAGAACAGGAAGGAAACCCCAGGTTTAAAAGCCATCTTTCAAACACTTCAAGCTTGCTTCTTCTATACTGTAAATGTCTTTCAACTAATTCCTAGCATATGAAATTTATCACTATTATCATATTCACTATCAAGAACTTGCCTGTAGTTTCCTCTCAGAAATTTTAAGCACATCTTCCTAAATATGCTGCTCTTTATTCAGGTGGTAACTTTTGACTGTTTTCTGTCACTTCTGAACTGTGTAAGCAGTTCTTGTTACTTAATCTTATGAATATATTTCCTTCTACTCATCTGACAGAGCCTATTGAATGCACTTGTCACTGGTTATATTTTAATTCTAACTTTGATGTTAAGTGCTGTCATTTTGCAGGGGGGGGTGGGGGTGGTGTAGCAGTATTTTAAACTCTGCTAGTCTCTGTATTATTTTGTAAAACAATTTCCAAATAAACATTTATGCAGGTTAATCATAGCAAAAGAGAAAATGCTAATTCAGCCTATGATAAGAAGTTAAAAAAACCTCTGACAACCCTTTTTTTTTTTTTTAAATGAAGTTGGCAACAGCATGCACTCTTCTTCATGCCATATAGCACCTATCAACAGGGAAAAGGGTTGTGGTTTGTTTTCTTTTAACATTGGCAATTTCTACTCTGGACAGAAGTTTCCTACTTCACTGCTCTAGTTCACTTAAGCATCTGAGGTTCTGAACCATGAACTGCAGTCAAACAAGCCAACTGAACCAGGTGTTGTACCCTTTCATCTTCCTTGACTTTCACCAGACCTTTAATGGGAAGATTTAACACAATAATGTGGCCGAAAAACATCCACTTTCTTGGGGTTAGTGAACTGAGCAAGATCATTCCAGTGAGGACCAGAACAGGCGTGCAAAAGCAACGCGGGAAACAGGACTTCCTTGACGGTAATGGCGATTTCAATCAGAAGTGAAGGTACGCATTGTGCGGTGAAGATGAACTTCTGCAGAGAGGCAGGAGGGATGGACGAGGGCAGCTAGATAGAGCCAATACTGTAGCACAGCGAATTACACTAAATTAAGCCACTCTTGTTTTGCCCACTGGAAGACAATAGTCAGATTTGTGCTTTTTCTCCTAACCACGCATGGTGAGCTGAGCCAGCTGGTTAAAGCTCCCCAAAGAATAACAGAATCTCCTCTTAGATTTGAACATCCAGT